TGGCGTTTCCTAGAGCTGAAGATAAAATTTGATTTTTAAAGCTAAGGACTGGAAGGAACTATTAATTTTAGTGTTTTGATTTTGAACCTTGATGATTTTTAGTGATTTGATCTTGAACATTGATGATTTCCTAGGGCTGAAGATAAGATCTGAGTTTTTTTTTTACGATTGAACCTTGATGATTTGTAGTGTTTTGATTTTGAACCTTGACGATTTTTAGTGTTTTGATCTTGAACCTTGAATAGTTTTTAAGTTCTTACTTTTATACCAAAAATCTTACCTATCAATATATTTATGGCAAAGTCTTATACTTTATTTGTTATACCAAAACGGTTTTGTATATGGTTAGAAGATGGATTTTGGGTGATGACGATGATCACTACAAGAAAACAATGTCGTCACTGACAGAATTTCCGATGGATAGCTATCCGTCAATAATTTCAAATGGATTCTCGACGGAGATGCAACTAGATTTGGACAATTGCGTTCTTTCGGTAATGCAACGGGAATTTATGACAGATAATTATTCCGTCGGAAATCTGGAACAAACTCCTCACGGAATTCCGACGGAGTGTGTCTGTTACAAAACTCTATTGGGATTCCATCGGTTATGTGTTACCGTTGCTATAGCCGTTTTAAATTTTTTTAAATATCTATTGTTTTATTATTACCGTTGTTATATAACCGTTTGAATTTTCAATATCCAAACGGATTCCCGCCGGATTCGATGCCTATATATATGTACTCTCATTCTCAAAAACAAACTCATTATAGCTAAGTTGTTTTTTCTTTAAGTTTTTAAAAGAAATAAGAAATAGAAATGTCTTCTTATTATAGCTAAGTTACTTCTTATTTAAGATCATGGATGGATGAACCAATGATGGATATGGAATCAAACTTATTAAGAGATGAATATGCACGAGGCGTATATCCAAAGGATCTAAGTTCGGTATCGTGAAACTATTCCGCACTAATCCTTGCTCAACTTGAGAATGCCAAATCTTAGGGAGATTCCCATCAAGTGAGTACTCTATCCCTTTCATATTTGTTCATCTTTGGTTGTTCATCTTCTCTCTCGCCCAGTCATATTGTTTTAGTTTTCATAAATTATTGGCTCGTTAGAAAATTGCGAAATAAATTGCATATGAATCTAGGACGAGTCTAGTTTTATTTTAAATTATATCTGGAATATTTCAGCATCGTTTGATAATTTATTTGTCCCGATCAATTGATACTGTCAAGAATAGGGTTTCAGGAAAATTTGGGATCATTTTGTGTTTGTTGTGTCCAATCTTTTTATTTCAAAAACAACTTGTTACTGGTGACTTGTGTGTTGATTTGTTTCAGAAAAAATGGTTGACACGAAGGAAGAAGAAACAATCCATAATCGCAACAACAAACTTTTCCTCAAGGAATTCTCAACTCGGATGAAGAAAATAACGAACACCTAATTTGAAGCACTTCGGCAAGATATTAAAAAGAAAAGAAGAGCACCAAATGGAGAATCGGCAAACCATAGAGAGCTAAAACCAAAGCAGAAAGACCACAAACGGAGCAATCCATATGAAACATCTCACACTCCCAAAACTAAGGTTCGTTTCAAATCTAAGTATGAGCCTTCTAATGAAATTCACCTCTATACATTTTCAGGAGAAAGAAACTACCTAGAGTGGGAAAGAAATATCGATGAGTGGTTATACTACAACCACATCCAAAGAGAAGGGAGATTAGCTTATGCATTCGACCATCTAACTGGCAATGCATATAAATGGTGGTTACAAGAAAAAGATGATCGCTTATTCTTCAAGGAGCCAACTATCACCTCGTGGAGAGATCTTAAGGAACTAATGAGGAAAAAGTACACAACCACAAAACTTCCAAGTATTGAGCAAGATCAACAACTTCAGAAGCGGTTGAGTAGACAAAACAATTATGATGATTTGGAAAAGCGGCTCTACTCAACCGCTTCTGAAGTTGTTTATCTTGCTCAACACTTGGAAGTTTTGTGGTTGTGTAGCTTTTGTCCTTGTACTTTTTCCTCTTTAGTTCCTTAAGATCTCTCTACGAGGTGATAGTTGGCTCCTTGAAGAATAAGCGATAATCTTTTTCTTGTAACCACCATTTATATGCATTGCCAGTTAGATGGTCAATTGCATAAGCTATTCTCTCTTCTCTTTGGATGTGGTTGTAGTATAACCACTCATCGATATTTCTTTCCCACTCTAGATAGTTTCTTTCTCCTGAAAATGTATAGAGGTGAATTTCATTAGAAGGCTCATACTTAGATTTGAAACGAACCTTAGTTTTGGGAGTGTGAGATGTTTCATATGGATTGCTCTGTTTGTGGTCTTGCTGCGTTGGTTTTAGCTCTCTATGGTTTGCCGATTCTCCATTTGGTGCTCTTCTTTTCTTTTTAATATCTTGCCGAAGTGCTTCAAATTCGGTGTTCATTATTTTCTTCTTCCGAGTTGAGAATTCCTTGAGGAAAAGTTTGTTGTTGCGATTGTGGATTGTTTCTTCTTCCTTCGTGTCAAACATTTTTTCTGAAACAAATCAACACACAAGTCACCAGTAACAAGTTCTTTCTGAAATAAAAAGATTGGACACAACAAACACAAAATGATCCCAAATTTTCCTGAAACCCTATTCTTGACAGTATCAATTGATCGGGACAAATAAATTATCAAACGATGCTGAAATATTCCAGAAAGAATTTTTAAAAAACCTAGGCTAGCTCGTCCTAGATTCATATGCAATTGATTTCGCAATTTTCTAACGAGCCAATAATTTATGAAAATTAAAACAATATGACTGGGCGACAGAGAAGATAAACAGACAAAGATGAATAAATATGAAAGGGATAGAGTACTCAACTTCAGAGCGTGCTCTGATAGAACTTGATGAGAATCTCCCTAAGATTCTGCACTCTCAAGTTGAGCAAGGATAGATTTGGCTAGAAACCCGTGGTGTGGAATAGAAGTTGAATGGTTGATGGATATCACACAAAATTTGTGGAATAGCTTCACGATACCGAACTTAGATCCTTTGGATATACGCACCAAAGAAGCTAAGGGTTTTGCTGGATATACACACCAACAAGAAGATCTCCTTAGAGAAACAGAAGGTTTTTGATAAAAAGAAAGGTGGGGTATCAAAGAGACTACAAAGGGTTTATAAAGAAAAGAAAGAACATGCCTTGGAACAACTTACAAGGCTGTTCTCGAAAATACAAAGCAATAAATTAAAAACTTGAAATTGAAAAGATAGATTGACCCTCTTCTTCTTCTTGGTCATGGCTCCTTAAGTGCATAAAAGGCCTTGGGCTTTTGATTCAACAAATGGGCTATGGTGAAGTGAAACAGCTGCCTCATTAAAAACCTTGTCAAGAAAACCCAGTGGGACAAAACTTGACAAGGGAAAAAGAGTACAACCATGACATTTTTCTCATTGTTGAATCACGTAGCTTGGATCAAAACCAAAGTGGTTTGACAAGCTTTTCTTTCATACTTGATGTCTTGATCGTGTTGGCTCCGAATCTGATTAAGTAATTCTCCAACAGCTTCCTTAAACAGTTTAGCTCTTGAACGATTCATTTGACCAGTTGTTGTGACAAGAGGATCCTCGCCTACAAGCTTATTCTCCTCTCCTAGCTGCTTATCCTCCTCTCTGAGCTGCTTCTCCTCAGCTACGAGCTCAGCTTCTTCAAGCTCTAGCTCCGGTTCATGCTCCACTCCCTTAGTGCTATCCATGATCATATCATCCTCTCCCTCTTGAAAAGGATTTGACCTCAAATCCAATTCATCTACAATGAAAAGAACCAAGTCAATAATTTTGAAACAGGAACTCACATTATACTTACCTTGCAGCTCAAGTTCATAAGCTTTGTTGTTGATTTGGCTTGCTATGTTGAATTGAACATCGATCCTTGGGATTAGATTGGACTCCCTTTCAGTTGGAAATCTTTTCTTCCTCCAATGTACCCATACTAGTTCTCCAACCTCAGAAATCATCCTGAAACGAGCATAAGGTTTCTTATACTGCGTGAAAACATCTCCAATTCCAGTCCTTGCAAGGAAATTGGATGAGAACTCTTTTAAACTAGTGGCTCCACTTTTGTACCTGCAATGTTTTCAACACATGTGACCAAGAACAAGTGTGTTGTTACAGTCATGGAATCATTATAAACATGTAAACATATCTTTGTTTGGACCAAATCAATATCCTGGTAATGTTCCCCTTTTAGTTGCGCCTCACGACAAGAATTTGGTTCCAAATATTCTTCCGATTAACCTAGCTTATTCTCGATGATTTCTTGATGCACTAAACTCATTATCACAGCCCCTAAATCATAAGAAATAAATTTAGTTGAGGAGTTACTTACCTGAATAAAGTCTTTGACATGTTCGGTGTTTATCATCATTATTTTATCTGGGGGTTCTTCTTTCATCAGTACGTTGGTGGTGACCAAATCATCCTCTCTAGAGGATAACTTACACAATGAGAACTCAAAATGTTGAAGCATATAATCTTGCACGATCATGTTCTCCTTTTGACATGTTTCCACTATAAATATGTTGTGGCTCGCCTTTAGCTTGAATGTTGCATCTGGTGGTGCTTCTTTGATCAGTATGAAACGACTCAAATCTTGGTGTTTATTCTGGTTCAGATTGTCTGGCTTAAACTGATTGTGTCCCTTTCTTGTTTTAGTTCTTCTTAAGCGCTTCAAGATAGCCTTAAAATCTGCGTTTGGCAATTTTGCCAAAGACAAGCGAATCAAATCTGTGTAATCTTGGATAGAATTGTACTTGAGAGTAAAGATACTTATCTTATCATAGCTTTTTATGAGCACTAGTATTACATCAGGTGGCTCATCTTTGAACAATGAAGAAGCTTTAACTACATTTCCATGCTTTTTAAAGTCAAAAGGTTTTCTATTTGATGAGTTTTGTGAATTTAACTCTTTTTTAAGAGTTTCTGGTGGTAAAGAACGATAAGTGGGATATGGTTCAAAGAGATCAGATTTAAGCATCTTTAGGATCTGCTTTGTAATCTTCCTTGTTGGATCACGTGTAAACATGTAATGTGAATAACAACTTAGAAGAAAATTTACTTAAGAACCAAAAATGTTTCATGCCCTAGCTTCTGGAGAGAATGTACCATATATGTTTTCCTTCTCGCTCTTGACAAAAATCAAGGAGGTGTGACCGTCCAGGAGCTCGCCAAAGGTCTGACACATCAACAAATAGAGGAATGACAAATTCCTTGTTTCCAGCCTCCGGTGAATTAGATTCTAGTCCTTCACTTCTATTTCCTGTCGGTAGAAAGTGTGCATGCCGGTTAAGCCTCGGTAAGTAATCCAACGTGTAACTAGGACTAGTAAAATCATAACGACGTTGATCTTCAGCCATGTGTTGGAGGAAATCCTGGCGACTACGCAGCTGAAAATATTATTTCAAATCATTGAGTTAACACTATTGGACAAAACACACTTGAACTCAATTCAGTTAAGAAATTAACGACATAAGACAACCGTGGAATTTAAAATACAATTGACCACAATTCAACACAATGTTAAACCAAGACAGAACACACTAACAATTAAGAACGATAACTATACTTACTTCCCAGCGAGTAACCAACAATTTTTCAAACACATTAAAGGACTAGAATCTAACGGTGAACATACAGCCAGTGAGTTGCAATTTTGGACAGAACACACTTACAAAATCGAACACAATTTGAAATTGAGATAACACAATAACAATTACAAACTATATGTGGGAGAAGAAACAACCAATGACCAACAAATTTGGACATAATCAAACACAATGAAGGGAAAATATAAGCTGACCCGAACACAACAAAGTAACTTACTATCAAATTCAAAGGTGGGACAAGAGACCAAGAGTTTTCTTCTGCCCTTCTTTGACTAGGTTGCATGCGGCTCGACATTGAAGAAAATCGAGGTTTGTTTTTTTGTAATCTACAAGTAAGCAAAAAAGAAGAAGTGGATATATGTTAGAACATATGAGGAATAGGAAGAAGAAGAAGAAGAGATTAGGGCGATGAGAAAAAAAAGAGGGTGAGAAAAGAATAGGAGGAATCGGTCTTTAGAAGGCTAGCTCCGCTGGTAAACAGAAGGCTCGATCCGCCGGTGAACAGAAGGTTAGCTACGGCGGCGTAGCAAGGTGCGGAAAAATCGTTAGTGAGTGGGAGAAATCGTCGATGGTTTCAATGGTGAGTGAATAGATAAGAGAGTTGAACGGCGGTGAGGGAGATGATGTTAAGTGTTTAGGGTTTGTTATGTTTTGTTAATGGATCAATATATGGCCCACTAAGTAATTTTGTGGCCCAATTTTAATATTTTTAAACCAATATTTTGTGTGACAGGCTCAAATTAAATTGTGGAATTAATAAAATAATTTTTTTTTTACAAAACAATGATTTTAAAAATTGAAAATGTAATAGAAGTTTACTGTAAATGTGAGGGATTAGAATGAAAATTAAGATTATAATAGTTTTAGAAAACAATGTTTTCTAAAATTGAAAATTAAATGCAATTTTACTGTAAATGTGTGGGATTATGAATGAAAATTAAGATTATAATAGTTTTAGAAAACAATGTTTTTAATATTTAAAATGTAATATAATTTTACTGTAAATGTGTGGGATTATGAATGAAAATTATGATTATCAATTTCAAAAATTGGAAAGATTTAGGAATTGATTTTAACAACAATATAGATTTATTACTCCGACTCAGAGTCTCATTCTGAAGATGCAGAAACTAACTCTTCTTCAAACTCTCCGAGCTCTTCTTCTAAAACATCCGAAATATCATCGATTATGGTCTCTTCATCTAAGGGAAAACAGCCTATTCTCCCATGAACTAAGTTGCTCTTTTGCAAACATACACAAAACTTTCAGTTGTGCCTATTTCCCCATTAACTAAGCTAAAATTTGAATTTCATACATCAACTTTACATATACGGTTAAAAACCACAAATCGTCAAACGGTGTTACTGTGCCGTCAACGGGTGCTGGATGAGACGACACGTAAACAGTTATATGACTGCATTTTGCCACTAGAAGTAAGCAAGAAAGAAGAAGAGGATATATGTTAGAACATATGAGGAATAGGAAGAAGAACAAGAAGAAGAGATTACGTCGATGACAAAAGAAAAGAGAGGGTGAGAAAAGAATAGGAGGAATCAATCTTCAGAAGGCTAGCTCCGCTGGTAAACAGAAGGCTTGATCTGCCAGTGAACAGAAGGCTAGCTACGCCGGTGTAGCAAGGTGCGGCAAGAGGGTTGGTGAGTAGGAGAAATCGTCGATGGTTTCAATGGTGAGTGAGTAGAGAAGAGAGTTGAACGGCGGTGTGGGAGATGATGTTAAGTGTTTAGGGTTTGTTATTTTTGTTAATGGATCAAGATATGGCCCATTAAGTAATTTTCTGGCCCAATTTTTATTTTTTTTAAACCAATATTTTGTGTGACAGGGCCAAATTAAATTGTGGAATTAATAAAATTATAATTTTTTTACAAAACAATGATTTTATCTAAGACCAAGAACAATTTATGCATACAAAGATTAACTCTTGTTGGTCTACCCATCTTAGATATAAGATCCTAGTTTCTACCCTTAGTAAAACCTTTTTCTCTTTCTTTTCAACCACAAAGACTAGACACTTTGGTCTTCTCAACACAAACCCATGATCACCAAGCTTTTGGTACTCACCTAGGGACTTTCTCTTCTTTTGCACTTGGCTCTTTTCTATCTGTCTTTTTGTTTCCCTTAATTCCCAGTACTTATATAGTTGCAAAATCCTTTTCTTTTGGGGAACTAACTAGGGAATTTCTTCTTACTTAACTTAGAGACATAGAGCTTAACATAACTCCCTAGAAACTCCCTTTTATACCTTGATCAAACCTTCATTTTCATTCTTTCTTCTTCTTCTTTTCTCCCAAACCAAACCCAAAATGTACAATCTAACCACCTAATTCTTTCAATCCCTTCCTAATGGCTAGTTTTCAATGATTTCAAGACTATCTAAAACAAGAGTTAAAATCTTGTCGTTCTCAATTCCCTCAAGATTTCACAATCTATAGCATTATCAAGAAGATGCCTCATTCACAAATCAATTCAAGGGTTGCAAGCAAAGGTTAGGGGCAAGGGTAAGGGAGACTTTCAAATCATTCAAGAGATGAAAGGTATTATAATGCGATTAAGAAGAATTAACCATGAGAATGCATTCAAAAACCATAAGGGGAAAGATTAGATTCAAATTAATCTCAATTTCATACAAGAAGAGATTGCTTTCGAAGAATGCAAAGGTCTAAGCAAGAATTTTTATTTTATCCAAGATGATCAAGCAACAATGATCTATGACCGAGAGCTACAAAGCATTTTAATCATCATCCCCAATGCATATGAAAATGCAAGTTGTATGCTACTAGACTCAATCCTAGAGATAAAAATGAAAGTGCAAAACTACATGATTTTTTGGATTTTTCAAAATTTTAAACTTTTTTTGTTTTTTCTCAAATCAAAGCTATTCACAATGCAAGACTCAAAGAAATGAAAAAAAAAAACAGAACACATCATTAGATACCTAACGAAAAAAGAGAATAGAAAAAGACTAAAAACGGTATTTATAATAGAAAAGAAGTGGTACCTTGGACTTTAGTGAAGTTTGGTAGGCTTGTTCGGCCTATAGGTCCTTGGACCTTGAAGGGAGAGGCGGGGAAGATCAATGACGGTGTGAGCACTAGAGGAGCATCCACAGTGGAGTGACATGCTTCTTCTCCTTGTCCCGCATCACCATCGGCTTCCTCAGTGTCCTCTTCCTCATTGTATCCCTCATTTGCATGAGCTAAGAACTCATCTTCGGAAGATACATACCCCAAGGGCTCTAGCTTCTTCACCTTCCTCACAAGCCTTGCTCTTCACGTTGAAACTTAGGACACCTTTTTTTACATTAGCAAAGAGTTGTCGTTGAAAGTCAACGTCACTGTTGCCAAGCACTACAGGAAAATTGTGTAATATGCAATATATTATTTTACAATAGCATTTTCGAAATGTCATGTATATGTCAAATGTAGTAATCATAAACTGTTATCTATAGAGATTAAACATAGCAATCTGCAAATGTTATTTAACTAGGTTTGTCGATTACATATTTTTATTTTATTAGACCATAATTTAATTTAACTTAGAACATATATATATATTTTTTAATTTTAAATGCATGTAATTTAAAAAGAATAATTATAAATTAAATATTATTCATTGTTCATATTATTATAAATGAAAGACCCTCACTTGAAGTTTACAAACCATTGTTCAAATCCAAAATACAAAGTTGAAAGTAAACCATACAAATAAATAATTTAACCAAAGTTCATATGTAGATTAATTAACACCTTCAGCTTCTGCCTCTTAGTTTCGACGATGCGACTTGCTTCTTGAGGAGTCAACCTTGTACTTGTTTTGGTCGTTTCATTGCAGCGGAGAATTTTTGGTGTCTAAGCCTTTGTTCTTCGTTTTTGAGATTTTGGATAAGTCTTCGGAACTCAGGTTCGGTGTCTTGTTCGTCTTCCTCAACCCATATGAAGTATCCTATATTTCTTCCGTATTCTACTGGTGTGAGCTCCACCACATCACTTCCTTGATCATCATGTGCTTCTTCTGGTGGCTGTTGGTGGATCTTTGGTATGATTCCTTCACGTAATGCAACACTGAATTTGGTTTTAGCGGATGTTTCGAGAGAGAGCATAGTAGAGCATAAAGTTGAACTAAAAATCAGGAATTCATGTCAATTACCTTTGGGAGATTAGCGAGAAAGATTCAACTTTCAAAGGCTAAGGGAATTTGTAAATATGTTGGAATCCTGAATTAAAGAAAAAGTAAATATATTAGAGAGTAAATTTAAGCAAAAAAATCTGGAATCCTAAAAATAGAGAGTAAGAGTCGGGGAAGATCAAAATCTGTACCTTTAGCAACCATCAACAAACCGGTTCTGGGTTCTCCAACAAGTCGGTTCTGGGTTCTAACTGTGAACAAATAACATATCAGAAACAAGGTAAAAACGGTTCGATATTGTACAATACTTAATCGATTGTACCTCTTTTGGGTCGCTGCTTATGGTGGCTCCTGTTGTTAATGCTGCTTCTGCGTCAATCAAGCATGTAAGAAATGATAGAGAATATTTATCTTCTGTTAATAATGAATGAGTAAGAGAGAAAAGCCCACCGGAGGATAAACAAAGCGTCAACTGACTAGAGACATCGAAGGAGAGAAACTCTAAGAAGGGGATAAACGAACCGTCAAATGCGAAAGTGTGTAAATATGTTTATTTTATACAAGTGTAAAACCGTCTTCCTCTTTCACTTCAAGTGTAAGGCCCAAAAAGTATGTTTGTTTTCTGAACATTATTAAAGGCCCAATAGTAAATTGGTTAAGGGAAAGAACTTGTCGAAATATTTAACTTCAAAGCAAATAAATTATGTCTAACAGAGAAGTTATATTACAAAACTAGCAGATAGATGTTCATTACGCCATAGATTGTCACAATACTGAAAGTACTAACACAAAACAACAAAGTTAAGATTGATACTTGTTCTCACAGAAAGATGATTTTATCATTAGGCCAAGCCACTGTACTTCCTATTGCATCTGATATGAACTCAACTTCTGAATTGTGTCTCCAAACTCTTGCATTATCAACTTTAGAAACTTCTACCGAAACTTTTCTAGCATTGGGACCTAACGGGACGAAATGGACTTACTCTGTTGGATTAGTAGAAGATACTCGGCCTTGTGCAACTCTTTCTCCATAGTCATTGCAGTCTAATAAGATGCACTAGTGTTTTGTAGTGTTGCTACTACTTGTACTGTTACTTGCACTCTATCATCAAGAATTTAAAAACACAATAATCAATTAAACATCATCAGGACATCACTAACACCCATTTAAACAAACATATTACTCAATAAAGCAAGCATATATATTAATTACCGTCGGTGATTTCCTTGTTGTATCCTCAGTAGGTGTATCAGGATTAAATAATTTTTTCCAGTTAATAGGCCATGCGATGTTCTCAATAAGTGCATAACCTAAATTTGAAATTTCAAGAGTTGGTCTCCACAAGAAAGCATCACTTTCATCGACCTGGTAAACCTTCACAATGCAGGCATTCGGACCCAGAGGTATATTGTTGAAAAAATATTTTGGATCAGTTGAACACAATATGCCCTCACCAATTATCTCATCATTTAAATTCCAATAATTGAAAATGTAAACTCTTCCAGCTTGAACACAATATAATATTATATTAACCAGTAGTTATGCAAAAAAATAAAATATTAATCAATCTATAACAAATTAATGTGTAGAGGTATATAATAAGAAAAAATATTACCGATGATCCATCAGTTTCTGTTCCAGGGGTGTAGGTAGCATTGTCAATTATCACTTTCTTAGCTGGCCATGGAATCTTCACTCCCACATTGTCCCAAGTTTTTCAATGGTTTGGTGGGCCTCCATAGATGTGCTTCTGGTTTTGTTATAGACTTCATTTTAACAGCTACAACGTTTGGTACAATTGGAATACGACCAATCTTGTACATCTGATCAGTAGAGCAAAATTCTCCTTCACCGACAAAAACATCATCAGAAGAACACCAGTCCAGTAGCTGACACCTAACTCCCCCTTTGCTAACATTACTTACTTCAGACTTAGAGACATCATTATTTTCTCTTTGACAAGTTTTTGAACAAAAAAGGAAAAAGAAAGACATAATATATGCCCAACATTACCCAATAGTCTTTTTTAGTCATACACAAATTTAGTGGCTCCTTGCTCATATTAAAGGCTAACCCTGCAAGTTCAGATCAGGAGTAAAAATAAATTTCATAATCACTTATGCAATGAGGGAAGCGATGTAAACACAAACAAATTCTTACCTTGGTAACCAAACCCAAGCCTTATCGATGTTAACAACAATAACACAACAGCTCCGACCAAATTGGCATACAAATAATTAAACAAACAGTCACATTGAACCAAATGAAATGGTCAGCCACATTAATCTGATTCGAGAATGAAATCTCATTAGCTAAGATACCCGATAAGATTTAGTGTCTGCTTATTTGATGATTCCGAATAAGAAAAGATGAAAATAATAAATCTATTAAACTCATACTCAAAAACTTGAACAAATCGAGACTCAAGTCAATATATATAATAACCCATACATAAAACAATACAATAACCCATACAAATTAGACAATTATTACCTTGGATTTAACAAGTCCTTTCTGTTTTTATTTACAGAGGGGAGCTCGAGCTGGGAAATTTCAGGAGAGAGAGAGAGAGAGAGAGAGAGAGATAGAGAGAGAGAGAGAGAGAGAGAGAGAGAGAGAGAGTTAGAGAAAAAGAGCAAAGTCGATGGCAGCGTAATAGGATATCAGCGAAAGAGCAAAAGGGGATCTAAGCAAAAGAGGATCAAGCAATAAAGGATCTAAGCTAGGCTTGTTTCGAGCAGAAGAGAATAAGACGACGATCAGATTATGAAAAGTTGAAAGGGGAAAAAAAATTGTTGGGATTTTTAGTAAGTGTGGAGGGAAGATAAATTTTTTTTCCGCCGTACACTATTATAGCGTTTTAATTTAAGTATGCTATTAAAATATATAGAATGAGACCGTTTGATTATTTTTTTTAATCTGACACTTTATCATAGCGTTTCAATTAAATCAAACGCTATTAAAAAATATTTATCATGTTCAATAGCATAATGACCCAAAGCACTACATTAATCTGCTATTAAAACTCGTTTTTCCTGTAGTGAACCTTCAAGATGCCCGGGAATGTTGGCTCATCCAACATGGCAATCTTCCCCAAGCCCATGTCTTCAAAGAACTTGTCTAGCGTCTTTAGAAGTCCCATGTTCTCCAAGAGTTGTCTATCAACAAAGAGCGTGGGCATGATGGTGAAGGAGTTGATATGCTTGAGAAGTTTCTTCTCACTCGAGATAATGGGAGCCGAAGGCGCTTTTTGAGTGGTGCTTGATTCTCCTCTTCGTCGCTTGTTTCCCGCCATTGTGCCTATATGAAAGCTTAAAGTCAATTAGGTGACAAGAGAAAACACATAGAGAAGTATAAAATCAAGTCTCATATTGCCACTAGATTTTTTTAAAAGGCAAAATGAGGCTTAAACTATCACCATCACAAAGCTAGAAAGCACAAGAGCAAACCACATTTATTAGCTCATTCACATTTTCATATTATAATTCGAATTTATTTCTCATGAAAATTGCAAACCTTTTAATTTAGAAAAGGGGATCAAACCAATAGGTTAAACATAGTCTAAAGAAGCTTAAGCGATAGACAAAGAGATTAAAATTCCCAAATTCTAACAAAATATGTAATTTTTGTCACTATTCACCACATGAACCATAATTTTCAAAACTAAAAATTTCTCAACTAATCAAGCAAAATAAGCATCAATAATCTTCACCCAAGGTTTAGAAAGCTTAAAACTAGAAATAAACACAACAATCATTCTCAAATTTGACTAGTTCATGTGGTGATAAAAAGTAATAAACCTTAAGAAATTCAAGTAAAAATAGGGATAAAATTTGAGTGAAAAGAGCCCAAAATTGCAAAAAGCAAGTGAGAGATGAGAGAGTTGTGAGTTTTAAGAATGAGAAGAAGAAATATCTCTAACAGAAGAAGGAAGAAAAAGAGTGATTTTGTTTTTGTTCTTTTTAGAATAAAACCGGGCCGGTTAAGGCATTTAAAATCAATTTTTGGGCCAAACCAATATAATTTCTTGTTTAAATAGATTGAAGAAAACCGAAAGGAAGAAGAAGACTTACCTAGTTCAGCAGCCCGATCGGGCCATCGGTCGAGAAAGGAGGGATGTGTTTCTCTGGTTTTTGTCGTCAGCCCTTACGCCCGATCAGGTAGTCGGTCGAGAAGCAAGGTTGCTTCTCTCGGGTTTTTTTTGACAAAATTATTACGGCTGACCAGTCGCCTGATCGTTCCGGTTGGGCACTGTTCATCCTGGCTTCTTTTTTGTTTTTTTACGATCCGTTTTCTTTTTTTTAGCTTCCCTAATCATTTTTCAAACGCCAATACATACTAAATTATATCAAAATAAAATAAAATAAAGAGAAATATGTACAAGGATACCATGGGATTGCCTCCCAAGTGCGCTTGTTTCACGTCTCTAAGCTGGACGTTACCACACCATTAAGGCGGTTTGAGGTTCTGAGAGAGAAACCGCGGCAGATTTCTGCCTTGTAGATTTTTGCATTCTCATAGGCTTCTAGGCGGATTTCATCTAAAGCATGGAGTTGGATCAAACGTTTATCAGCCGCGGTTTTGATGGCAAATCTCAATAACTTCACAACCCACATAGCCTTACTCGAGTTCAACCGAAGATGACAAGATTTCTCATAAAGAAGAGTGATTGGGCTGTACCAATGGGTGTCTTCTATGTGGTTCGGTAAGCCCAGAAAACATAATCTAACTTCATAGCCCAATCTTTTCTTGTAGTGCCTACCGTTGTTTCTCGAGAATGGCCTTGATATCTCGGTTTGAAATATTGACTTGACCACTTGTTTGCGGATGGTAAGATGTAGCTACCTTGTGCTTGACCCCATTTTTCTTGAGTAGGCACTCAAAGATATTTTTGATGAAATGCTTTTCACCATCACTTATTACCACTCTTGGAACTCAAAATCATGGGAAGATTATAGTCTTAAACAACTTGAACACAAACTTGGCATCATTAGTTGGACTAGATATGGCTTCTACCCAATTTGACACATAATCAACTACCACAAGAATGTAACGATCGCCTTAAGAGGAGGGAAACAGTCCCATGAAGTCTATTCCCCACATATCAAAGATTTCAACCTCAAGATTCGGGGTTTTCAAGGCTTCGCATTCTTTCGCAAGAGTCACACCTCACTATAAATTATTGAGCATCCTTGAACATAGTAGGCCACCATAGACCCGCTAGTATCACCTTTGAAACTGTCTTGAAAATGGCGAAATGACCTCCAATTGTTGAACATGACAATGTTGCAAGATCCCTTCCACTTCCTCTTGAGATACACATCTCCTATATATCTTATCGTTAGAAAGTGTGTAGAGATAAGGGTCATCCCAATAAAATCGGTTTACATACAGAACTTCTACTTTCCATATGCATCCAAGTTCGGCTGTTATAATCCACAACTTAGATAGTTCACTATATCAGCATACCAAGGGCTGTTCTCCTTCAAGTTCATTGTTTCCTCTAGCTACATCAAGGTCTTGTGGCTCTCATCAAGAAGTTGGACCGTCCAAAAGTTTCTCCTTAGGAAGAGTGTCATTGATAGGAATATCACTACCAATCCTCAATCGAGAGAGTTGATCCGCTACACCATTTTCAGTACCCTTCTTATTCTTGATCTCAAGGTCAAACTCTTGTAGAAGTAAGATCTATTGATCAAGATCTTATTGAGTATGTCAAGATAGAATAGACCATTGTAAAGTACCTTATAAAGTACAGATAGAATAGACAATTATAAAGTACCTTATAAAGTACTTTATAAGGTACTTTTTTAAGGGGTGTTAGTCACATATTGTTAGCTTCCCTTGTAAGCTTATCTCTTATCCCACTTATTTATATGTGTGGTTCTAAACCTAACAAAGTAAGAAGAGTAATTCTCTCTCTTTTCTATTCTTGGTTACTATTCATCTTCTCTCCCAATCTCTTTCTTATTCTTGTTACTCAAACCTAGAATCTCTCTCTTGTTATTCCGCTTAATCTAACATGGTATCAGAGCATGTTTTTCGATTCTATGCTCCTTAAACATCTCTATTGTACCTAATCTCTCTATACTCTTCTCATTCTCTTCAATATTTTCTCTAGATCTACTTTTTTCTTCCACATCTAGATCTACTTTCTCTTCTAAGATCTTTAAGTTCTCACCATGGAGAACCCAAAACCGATTATCAATCCGGTCGTTCTTAAGGGTGTAAACTATATTTTGTGGACAAGAACTGCTCTTTGTGGCCGAGGGCTTTGGAGTCACGTTGAGGTCAACCATGCCACTCATAAAGAAAGATGAAAAGGAGACCGAGGGAGAAGAAGACAAGGCAGCCGAGCTTGAGAAGGAAGCCAAATGGTTCCAGAAGATCAAACCGTGCTAGCCATCCTTCAAAACTCCCTTGAACCCTCCATACTTGAAGCGTACTCCTATTGTGAAACCGCAAAGGAACTTTGGGACACGCTCAAGAATGTCTATGGGAATGTGTCCAACTTGACCCGTGTGTTTGAGGTCAAGAAGGCTATCAACAACCTAAGTCAAGAAGACTTGGAATTTACAAAGCACTTTGGAAAGTATCGGTCTTTGTGGGCTGAACTCGAGATGCTCCGTCCAAGTACCGTGGATCCGTCCATCCTCAATGAGAGAAAGGAACAAGACAAGGTCTTTTGTCTCCTTCTTACCCTTAATCCAGCTTACAACGACCTCATCAAGCACTTACTTAGAGCCGATAAGCTTCCCTCTCTTGATGATGTGTGTGCTCAAGTGCAAAAGGAGCAAGGCTCTCTCGGTCTATTTGGTGGTAAGGGGGAGCTCATCATGGCCAACAAAGGAACATACAAGCAAGAAGACAAGAAGGTGGTGGTTTGTGACCATTGCAAGAAAAGAGGTCACATAAAAGACAAATGTTGGATCCTCCATCCCCATCCCAAGCCGGCTAAGTTCAAGGCGAATATCTCGCAAGAAGCAAGGCAAGAAGGCGGTTCCGGATCGAGCAAACAAGGAGAGGAAGTGGCCATGGCTGCATCTCATTGTGATGTTGTGAGAAAATCAGACTTGGAAGCTCTCATACGATCCATTGCCTCACTTAAGGAATCCGGTATCTCTCTCTTTGCTTCTAAACCTAGTAGTAAACTTGTCATTGACTCGGGTGCTTCTCACCATATGATTAGTAACCCGAGCCTTATAGACAACATACAACCGGCCTTAGGGAATGTAAAGATAGCTAATGGAGATAAGATACCGGTAAAAGGAATAGGGGAATTGAGACTATTTGATAAGAATTGTAAAGCCTTCTATATGCCTACCTTTACCCCTAATCTTTTATCGGTTAAAAGGGTTACTAATGATCTCAATTGCTATACTATATTTGGTCCTAATGAGGTTTATTTTTAGGATATTAAGACCGGGAAAAGACTTGGAGAAGGAAATGCCAAAGGAGATCTTTATATTCTTGAGAAAACCTTACCAAGTTCTTCTACTTCGTTTAATGCTTGTCTTGCTTTAAGTTCTAATGCCGTGTGGCATGCTAGATTAGGCCATCCTCACTCTCGTGCTCTTGAATTGATGTTGCCTAATGTTTCATTTGATAGTTCTAGTTGTGAGTCTTGTATTCTTGGTAAACATTGCAAGTCTATTTTCCCTAAATCTAAGACCATTTATGAAAATTGCTTTGATTTAGTGCATTCGGATGTTTGGACTTCACCATGCATATCTAGAGACAACAATAAGTACTTTGTCACCTTTATTGATGAAAAATCAAAGTATACTTGGATCACATTGTTAC